AGGAAGCAGAAGAGAAGGCGGAGATTCTCAGGGACCGATTCCGCCTCTCCGCCGTCTCCATCGTCGAATCCGAGGGTTCGTTCGAAAAAAAAATCTCAGATCCCTTCTTTCTATTTTTTTTAATTCAAACTTTGAGATCATCGATGCATTTGTTTTCCCCGAGCAGTCAAGAAGCAGGGAATGGAGATCGCGGAGCCCGTTGTCGCTTGCGTTGCTGACCTGGCGTTTAAATTCACTGGTCCGCTCTCAAAACCCTAACCCTTGTCTTTATTTTCTTCGAATTTGCGGTAATTTTGACTGAATCCCACAGCTGAAACCGTCAATGGTTAAGAGACAGATACTAATTTTTTTCAATTTAAAGAATTTTTTATGATGATTACCTCTTTAAAACTAAGGTGGCGCAAATTCGAGAAGATGCACATATAGATTGTTTGATGAGTAGTAGCCATGAATCAATAGGTTCGTTTTCGTTTTCTTTAGAGCAAAATTTTATGACAGTGTACCGAAAGCAATCTGCTTTCTCGTCCCTTTTGATTGAAACATTGTGGAGTAACACTTTCTGTCAATCCGCAAACTAGTATCTTCCTCTGTTCTGTATAATGCACTGGCTCAAATAAATGGTATGTAGCTTAGGCAAGGTTGCAAGTTGATCGTGGTAAATCTGACCGGTTGAAGGAAACCAAAGCTATCTAGAGTTTGCGTAAGAGAATTGTGGGATTACAATCAGTTTGACGTGGTGTCCATTTGCAATTGATGTGGGTTGAAATTATCAAGAAATGTACTCCCACTTGATTCAAATATGTTTCTCCTAGACTGGGAGGGTGAAAGTAAGATCTCCGGCTCCTTCAATTCGTAAGCCATTTAGATCTGAGATTGTTTTTGTTCATAATCATTCTAAGATATCCAGAATGTGGAAACGCAGAAGAGACCGTTCTTAGTTTTATTGTCCATGCATCATGCGAATGGATGATCAAACTTAGTAGGTTTAGGCGGCTACTGTAAGATACAAAGATCAGTATGGACTTGCATATTTTTCGAAAGTGATAATTAAGAAATCAAACTTATGGTTATGAAAAGTATGTGACCACAGGGATATTGTTATGTTTCAACAGGATGCATGTGAGGGTGAAGTAGTGTACAAATCTGTATCATAAGCTTTTCCCTTTGTGACCTGGCAGACTGGACTCATGATGATAGCAAAAAGTTTCTCCATCTGTGGCTAGTATTATTTCGTTTACACATTGTCCTCAAGAGCTCCATCATGAAAATCCCTAATAACTTTCACTTTCATCGAAACTTTAAATGTGGAGTTGAATGTCTTTGAAGGGATAAGTCGTCTACCCGATAAATTCACTTGAGTTAAATTAATCAACAAGCTTGAACTCCTACTCAGTGCATCTGCTGTTGTGTTAAAACACTAGATTTTATGCTTAATACCAAAGTATATTGTTCCAAATACCTTGCCACATGGCATACATTTTGTTGATAGTCTGAATAAATAAATAAAATACTTCAAGCTGATGTTGGTAACATAACAGAAGAACATATGCTGGTAATAATAGAAATCTACCTTGTAGAATTTCTTCATCTGTCGCTAACTTCTCTTTGACCCTTTTCTTGTCATCTTCGTGTATTCTGCAGCTCATCCCTCAACACAATTGCACCTCCTTTAGGTTTGTAAGCCCCAAATGTAACATGTTTCTCCACAGAGTTATTACCCAAATCAAGGATTTTCTGGACATCGTAAACCCAAAATGTTATGAGGATTAGATATCAAGATTTGCTTTTGAAAGTAGGGATTTGATTTCATCTGATACTCTTTGGAGTTTTCATTTTGCCATCCAAATTGCCTTCCACGGGCAACATACCCTTCTTCCTCATGACTGGAATCGTTGTCTCCTGCTTGCCATTGTATATGCTGATTGAAGTATGGACATCTTCTTATTGCTGCCTCATCTTTGTCTGAATTGAAATCTTCTTATTGCTGGTGATTGGAGCTTGGACTAGGTTAAGACGTGCAATTACTCTTCGCATAATCATGATTTCTGTCGCCATCCGGATCCAAAATTTCAACCCTTCTGTCAAAACGTTTGGAAGTGTACATCAACATTCGCTAGAAAGCATCAAACTGGCTAACAGGCCTTGCAAGCTTAGTTTGTCACTATATTCATGCTTAGCACCTTTCATCTCCGGGAGATAGCCTTGTCTCTGAAGCCACTTGACATAGATATGAAGAAATAATGCCTAGTATATCTTTTTCTAACTCCAGAAACTTCTAGATAAATCAAACCTGGAAATTCGCCAGAACATAAGGAAAGATATAATCCAATATGCCTCTGATACCACTTGACTGGTGGGAATGCCAGATACTAATTCAACCTACTGAACCTTCTATAACCTGTCGATGTCATCTTGTATAAGATGCAGGGTGTTCTTCATTTTATAATCATTGACAGGCTTAGTCCTTTTAATATTTCAGCTTTTTGCACATTTACATCTCTAACCAATGATCAGTTCTTATCTTATTGCTCAAGATTTTTTTTTTGTCATTTTTTTAATTCTTTTGCAAAAGCAGAACAGTTGGCTAGGGATGTGGAGTTGTTTGCACAACATGCTGGTCGTAAATCTGTCAACATGGAAGATGTCATAATATCAGGTATGTGATCTAATCGCCTTTAAACTCATCTAGCATCAATAGTTTTTGCATGGCCTTAGCAGAAATTGCTTTATGTGGTATTATTAACTATATGGAGTTTACCTTTAATAATGCAACCGCAACACGAAAAAAATATAATAAATAAATAAAGAAGCTTTTATCCAAATTTTTGGGTTAACTAGCTTATCTTCTCCGATTACTTACAATTACCGTATTCTGCTTAATTGTTCGCCACCTAGTTCTCTTTGGGCCACCTCTAGTCCTTGTTCCATTAACTATAATCTTGTCCTACGCGATGCGATTAATGGCCTTCCATTATGACAACGTTGTTTTTCGCCCTTACTATTGAACCTTAACTTCTCTTGATCCTCTGATAATTACCATTTGATCAATTTCTAATCACTGTTTGTCAGTTAATTTTATCGATCCATGCATACTAATTCTGTTAACCATCATATCAGTTCCATGATATTTATCTTGTAAATTCTCTGTCACCAACTTTTTGAGACGTAATTTCGATTCACGTGTACTAATTCTGTTAACCATCATATAAGCTCCATGATATTTCTTTATCATGTAAATTCTCTGTCACCAACTTTTTTGGGACATAATTTCGATTTCAGCTCATCGGAATGAACACTTGGTTGGCTTGTTAAGATCGTTTGCTCAAGAATTGAAAGGAAAAGAACCAGCAATTGAAAAGAAAAGGAAGAGGTCTTCAAAGAAGAAGCAATCCCCAGATGAAGGAGAATTTTCTGCTTTGTAGTTCATGTTTACATTACTTATAATGCTATTGAAGTAATTTGCGTGGTTGATATATATATGTAGAGAAATACTCCATCCTAAGACAAAAAAATTTGTGTGTTTCTCCAACTTTATTTCAGACATCTATGAATGTATCTGTATGTTAATAGGTTGATTGTTGGCCTTTGGTTGAAAAATATAGGAATAACACTTTATCCACTGTAAACATATTAGTTCTTGATTAAAATATTATCCAACTATATTTCAGATATTTATGAATGTATTTTAAAAAATTAGGGGCATTCCGAGAATTGAACTCGGGACCTCTCGCACCCTAAGCGAGAATCATACCACTAGACCAAATGCCCTTGTTGACATTTTTTTTCTACAGGAGAATAATGTACAAAAGAGACGGCCCACTGTTAGACAGGCCATTTGTGAATATTTGTGGACTCTGGGTAGTATAATTTACACCTGAAAGGCCCATTATCTTGGCCCACAGTCCAAGAGAGAAAATCTTATTGAAAATTAGTGCGAACGGCTAAATGTACGAATGCAACGTCACTATTGAACCAGTACGGTCAACTAATCAATACGTAGTAAATGCAATAATCAACTTCGAAATTGATGTGATGACATGTGTGGTCACTTTCTTGTTCCTTCCTAAATAATTTTCTATATAGAGGCACATCTCCGACCACATCTCTAATCACACTTCCTCTTTATCTATAGTGACAGTGGGCCATACATGATATTTTAAAACAATATCATGCAATGCCCACTATCACTATAGATAGAGAGGGAGTGTGGTTGGAGGTGTGCCCCCTAGTGAGACTCTTTTCTATAAAGGATACTCTACGGTATTTGGAAAATTAAATATTAATTTGTCATAGAAGTCCCTCAGCAGAGTATGGAAAATCATTCATGCATCAAGCAACACCGGAGCTATATAGTTCAATGGTGTCTCAAGACACCATTTAATTGCCTATGTTGTAGATAATTTTTTATGAGTTTTTCTATAGAGTGCCCATGGGCACTCTATAAGAGAGGAGAGAGATAAAGAGAAATGATTGGAGAGTGTTAGAATATATGTTAATATATTTTGTATTAGGCAATTATATTAGTAATCTTGTATATTTGTTAGGAGTATATTTAGTCCCCATAATTGTAGCCTAAGATTACGTAATTGTAGCCTAAGATTAGTCTTGTACTATGTGTATATAAGCCTAATCAAGTGAATGGAATAATCAAGGAATTAACTTCTTTCATGGTATCAGAGCCCTAGGGCACGATTCTCTCCTCTCCTTCCTCATTCTCTCCTCTCCTTCCTCTTCCGCGGTGCCCTAGGTCATCTCCATCTCCATCTCAGAATTCTCATTCATGTCTTCCTCCATGGCTGACTCTAAAAACTCCTTTCACCCGGCCCTTGCTGTGTCAAACATCAAGAACCATATCTCTATTACTCTTGAGATGGAAAACGTCCAGTATTCGACATGGGCGGAACTTTTCAAAATCACCGCTCGTTCTCACCGTGTAATCCACCATATCATCACGCCGGAGAAAGGGACCGTTAAGGCTCCGGAGACTGATGCTGAGAAGGAGTTGTGGTCAACTCTTGATGCTACAGTTCTCTCTTGGATATATGCTACAATATCCAATGATCTTTTGCACACCATTATTGAACCCGATGCGACGGCAATGGAGGCATGGAACCGTCTATGTAACATCTTCCAGGATAACAAAAACTCAAGGGCGGTGGCTCTTGAGCAGGAGTTCTCAACCACAAAAATGGAGGATTTCCCGAATGCCTCTGCGTATTGTCAGCGCCTCAAGGTATTAGCCGATCAATTGAAGAATGTTGGGGCTCCTGTATCAAACAACCGTCTCGTCCTTCAAATGGTTGCAGGTCTCACTGAAGCATACAAGAATATTGGTACGTTACTTCGTCAAAGTAATCCTCTTCCCCCTTTTTATGAAGCACGTTCTAGTCTCTGTCTCGAAGAAAAGGGATTAGCAAATTCGATCTCCACCGCCTCTGCCATGGTTGCTGCTAGGGAAGTAGATGATGCTTCCGATAATTATTCCCATCATAATAATCATAATCGTAATAATGGTGGAAAGAAAGGGAATAATAAAAACTACGGCAACAAAAACCGCGGAGGTGGCCGCGGTGGTGGTGGCGGCAAAGGTGGAAGCAACCGCTCAGGGGGTGGCGGCGGTGGTGGACAGCAGCACTCCGGCCAGCAGGTCCCGCAGTGGTTCCAGGCAGTTGGGCAGCAACAACCTTGGTCTTGGCCGTTCATGCCTTGGGCTATTCCTCCATGTCCCTATCCTACTTCTTCTTGGGCCAGGCCCAATGCACCAAGGCATGCTGGAATTTTAGGATCACGCCCACAACAGCAGCAAGTTTACTCTGCAGCAGTTCAACCAACGCCCACGGATATCGAGGCAGCAATGCACACCCTCGGTCTCACTCCTCCGGATCCGAATTGGTACATGGACACCGGTGCCACTTCCCACATGACTTCCGGGCAAGGTAATCTCACGTCTTACTTTAATTTGAGCAAAAATCGTGGTATAATTGTTGGTAATGGTCATACAATTCCAATTCATGGTTATGGTCACACGAACTTGTCTCCCCCGAACCCTCCCCTATCCTTGAAAAATGTTCTTCATGCTCCTCAAATTATTAAAAACTTAGTTTCAGTGCGGAAATTTACAACTGATAACTCGGTTTCTGTTGAATTTGATCCTTTTGGGTTTTCTGTGAAGGACTTTCAGACGGGGATGCTTCGAATGAGATGTGAGAGCCGGGGTGAGCTTTATCCCATCACCACCACCTCAAATCAAGCCACTTCCCCATCTACTTTTGCGGCTTTATCACCATCATTATGGCATGAACGTTTGGGTCACCCGGGAGCACCTGTTTTTAACTCCCTTAGGCTAAATAAATTTATTGAGTGCAATCAAACTCGTAATTCCCATGTTTGTCACTCTTGTCCTCTTGGAAAACTTGTTAAGTTGCCGTTTGTTTCTTCAAATTCATGCACTATTATGCCATTTGATATTATCCATAGTGATCTTTGGACATCTCCTGTTTTGAGCTCTTCGGGCCACAAATATTATATGTTATTGGTGGATGATTTCTCTAATTATTTGTGGACATTTCCTTTGTCGAAAAAATCACAAGTTTTTTCCACTTTTCTAGCCTATAGAGCTTTCATCCGTACCCAATTTGAACGGGAAATAAAGAACATTCAATGTGATAATGGTAGAGAATTTGATAATGGGCCTTTTTGGGAGTTTTGCAAGGTTAATGGTTTATCTTTTCGCTTATCTTGTCCTCATACTTCGTCACAAAATGGAAAAGCCGAAAGAAAAATCCGAACCATTAACAACATCACTCGTACTTTATTAGCTCATGCATCTTTACCTCCTTCGTTTTGGCATCATGCATTGCAAATGGCAACATACCTTCTCAACATTCTTCCAAGTAAACAATTAGCCTATCAATCCCCCCTCCAACTTCTATATCGAAAAGACCCTTCGTATTCACATTTACGAGTTTTTGGTTGTTTATGCTATCCCTTAATTCCTTCCACTACCATAAACAAACTTCAACCTCGTTCCACTCCTTGTGTCTTTTTGGGTTATCCATCTAATCATCGTGGTTACAAATGTTATGATTTATCCTCTCAAAAAATCATCATATGTCGCCATGTATTTTTTGACGAAGCCCAATTCCCGTTTGCTAAAATCCACACTCCACAATCTCATACCTATGATTTCTTGGATGATGGGTTGTCTCCATATGTCATTCACCATTGGGCTTCTCAATATGGCCCAAACACTAAGCCCCTTGCTGCCCCTAATCAGCTCAGTCAGCTCCCCCTTGCTCCTGAGCCCAATTCACCAGGCCCATCATCCCCCTTGCTTGACCAACCTGGCAGCTCTACTGGGCAGCCCACTTCGCCAGGCCCAGCGAGTGGCAGCAGTCCACCGCCAGCTCTTTCCTCTCAGGCCAGTCCTATTCCAGCTCAAAGACCGATTACCCGCAGCCAACGAGGGATCTTTAAACCCAAGAAACAATTTAATCTCAACATAACTGTGAGTAAATCCCCGTTGCCTCGTAACCCCGTGTCGGCCCTTCGTGACCCGAATTGGAAAATGGCTATGAATGATGAATTTAATGCTCTTATTAAAAATAAGACGTGGGAGTTGGTGCCCCGTCCACTTGATGTTAATGTGATTCGTTCAATGTGGATTTTTAGTCATAAAGAAAAATCTGATGGCACTTTTGAGCGGCATAAAGCCCGTCTTGTAGGTGATGGAAAAACTCAACAGGTGGGTGTAGATTGTGGTGACACCTTTAGCCCGGTGGTCAAACCGGCGACGATTCGCACTGTTCTCAGTTTGGCCCTCTCAAAAGCATGGCCCATTCACCAACTTGATGTGAAAAATGCTTTCTTACATGGAGAACTCAAAGAAACTGTGTATATGCATCAACCCGTTGGATATCGGGATCCAGATCGTCCTAATCATGTATGCTTGTTGAAGAAATCTTTGTACGGGCTCAAACAAGCCCCTCGGGCTTGGTACAAGAGATTTACTGACTATGTTTCTTCTCTTGGGTTTTCTCACAGTACTTCTGATCATTCACTCTTCATTTACCGTAAAGGTAATGCTACAGCATACATTCTTCTATATGTGGATGATATTATTTTGACAGCTTCCTCTGAGACTCTTCGCAAGTCTATCATATCTCTTCTTAGCTCAGAATTTGCTATGAAAGACTTAGGGCCATTGAGTTATTTCTTGGGCATCGCTGTAACTCGTCATGCAGGTGGTCTATTCTTATCTCAGAGGAAATATGCAGCAGAGATCATTGATCGGGCCGGCATGTCATCCTGTAAGCCTTCGCCTACTCCGGTTGACACCAAACCGAAGCTCAGTGCTAGTTCTAGCACACCATATGAGGATCCCTCTCATTATCGGAGCCTTGCAGGGGCTCTTCAGTATCTCACATTCACGAGACCCGATATTACTTATGCTGTGCAACAGGTGTGTTTATTCATGCATGACCCGAGGGAGGAACACATGCACGCTCTCAAGCGCATTGTGCGCTACATTCAGGGTACTCTTGATCATGGCTTACATCTATATCCATCTTCTACATCTACTCTCATTTCCTATACTGATGCGGATTGGGGTGGATGTCCGGATACCAGACGATCGACGTCTGGTTATTGTGTGTTTCTTGGTGATAACTTGATCTCTTGGTCCGCCAAACGGCAAGCTACCTTGTCACGTTCGAGTGCGGAAGCGGAATACCGGGGGGTTGCCAATGTGGTTAGCGAGTCTTGTTGGTTACGAAATCTTCTTTTGGAGCTTCATTGTCCTATTCGGAAAGCTACATTGGTGTATTGTGATAATGTTAGTGCGATATATTTATCTGGTAACCCTGTTCAGCATCAACGCACTAAACATATCGAGATGGATATTCACTTTGTCCGCGAAAAGGTTGTTCGGGGCGAAGTTCGTGTCTTACATGTTCCGTCTCGTTATCAGATTGTCGATATCTTTACGAAGGGCCTTCCTTTGGTCCTATTTGAAGATTTTCGGGACAGTCTCAGCGTACGACTACCTCCCGCTTCGACTGCGGGGGTGTGTTAGAATATATGTTAATATATTTTGTATTAGGCAATTATATTAGTAATCTTGTATATTTGTTAGGAGTATATTTAGTCCCCATAATTGTAGCCTAAGATTACGTAATTGTAGCCTAAGATTAGTCTTGTACTATGTGTATATAAGCCTAATCAAGTGAATGGAATAATCAAGGAATTAACTTCTTTCAGAGAGGAGATCCCAATGCAAATCAGGTAGGCCCCCCTCCTCAATCATCTCTCTCTATCTCTCTCCTCTTCTATAGAGTGCCCATGAGCACTCTATAGAAAAACCCTTTTTTTTATTTACTTTCCTTGATTTAGCATTTACCAATTGAGGAGCTAGAACTTTTATTTTGGAGGCCAAAAATCCAGGATACATAAACAAAATTTAGTAAACTCAGGTTATTTGTTAGACATTGATTGCACTTAAATACTCTATAGTTTATCCTAGTTTGCACTTATATACCCTCACTTATTTTTTGTAGCATTTATACACGCTAAAGTTTGTAAAGTTTGCACTTTAGTACCTCCAGTTATGTAAACATAAGAATTTCCCCTCGAAAATTCTCATGCCATACTCACTTAATTACTAATTTTAAAATATGGTAACTCCTTATATGTGTTAAATTTACTATTAAAACTATCAGAATCCTATTCCAAAACAGAATTCAAGTAGATTTAAAGTTCAATTACAGTAAGTTCAATAATAAATCCAACAAAAAGCAAGTGTTAAAAATTCTTAAATTAACATGTGATTATCGCATGAGAATTTTTGAAAAAATGATCATGCATAACATAGGGTATTAAAACATAAATTTTAAAAACTTTAGAGTTTATAAGTTCAGGTGAGGATATATAGGTGCAAAGCAGGGGAAACTATAGTACTTAAATGCAAGTGGGCATATTCTTAAGAAGGCTAACAATCACTCTGTGTATAACTATAAATTGCAAAATATAACTACGATCTATATATGTTAATTTCTTTCTTTTTTTTTTGGGTGGGGTGGGTAAACAAAAAAGTTTCTTTTACCGGAGAAAGAGGGAAGGAGAGAGAACGCGCGCGCGGGGTGAGGTCAGGGTTGGCGAGAGCTAGGGTTTGGGGCGGTGACGGGATCTTGCGGAGGAGAGAGCTCGCGGACGAGGGCGGCTAGGGCTTCGGGATTGACTCCGCGATCGCAGAGGGCGATGAGGAGGGAGAGGGTGTGCCGATCCAGCCCCGCTTCCAGAATGTTCGACATCTTGAACGCCAGATCCAGCGATTCCCTCGCGTTCCGGCCTGACTCCGTCGTTTCCATGCTCGCTCTTAAGCTCACCAGAGGCTCATCTGATCAGAAACAAAACCTACGTTGTTAGCCCCTCGGATCTTCAGATTAGTCCCTTACATGTTTGGAATTGGTCTGAAGGCCCTCAAACCTTACATAATTTTGCAAATTGTCGCTGGCCAGCTTTGGGATTTTTTTTAGAGTGCTGTAGGGATGGCAAATGGATGGTTTTGATTGGATTTTGGTTGGGTCATAAATGGGTGGGCATATTTATGATCACTTAACCATTTATGACTCATTTAGCACTTGCTAAATGCAGAGGCGTTGCTGACAATTTGGGGGCCCTGTTCTAAATTTGGGAGAAGGACTGGGAGGCGATGGACGGTGAAGAGGGAAGGTGGCGGAGGAAAGGGAGGAGGAGGCTTGGACCGTCAGATGGCATAATCGATTCACATAAAGTGCAAAAAAATTCCATTTGTTATTATTAATTCACAGTAAGTACTCAAAATCTCCATTTAGCAGGAACATAAAAATATTGAGAAAGATGAAACATTACCATGACAGGCAGAGGCGTGCCAATCCCGCAGAAATTGCATCTCTCCACCCAGTGCAGACCCCCGATGCAACGATAACAGTCCGACCATCACTGAGCGAAACAATCCTCAATAAGAGTTCCATTGGAAGATCCTTCCATCCATTCAAGGCCATTCCTTCCATGTTCCCCTTGCTATCACCAACCACGAGGTTACTAAACCAAAATCCAAATTCCCAGTCACTGGTCTCCCACTGACCATCTCAATTAAGCTCCTACACAAATAGGAAATAACCCAATTTGATCACCAATTTGTACCAAAAAAACCCACACGCGATAATCACAATTTCAAGGAAACACCCAACCGCAAATAATAAAAAAAACCGAATTTTTGCTAAAAAATAAACGGAAAAAATATGTCAGCTTTTTCTAGTTTAGCTAGAAATAACATTAAGAAAACAATGAGTACCCCTAAATTTGTCCAAAAACAAGACAATAATTATTTAAATCAAATCAAGGAAATAAACAGAAAGATAAAACTGCAAGAAATTTGAAATTGCACAAATAAAACAAGAGATTTATCAGCTACCAGCACGAAATCGAAGAAGAACCGCAATCGCTAGGGATTCCAAAGGGGCAAAAATGAGAATTTTTAGGTTTCAGCCGCCAGCTGGGGGTGGTTGCGGGTCTCGGGGTCTGGATCTAAGAAGTGGAGCGGGGGAGGAGGAGGAAGGCAAGGCGGCGGTGCTGGCGGCGGGATGAGGAGGTGGTGACGAGGGGAGAGGAGACGGTGGCGGTTGGGCTGGGGGCGGAGGCGCGGTGACCTGGTGAGGGCCTGAGGGGAGAGTTGAGGCGAGCAGGGGAGGGGAAGACAGGAGTGGGGGCCCCTCTCAAGTGGGGGGCCCTGTTCTGTGGAACCGCAAGAACCGCCTCAACGACTCCTTTAACGGCTGGCTCTGTCTATCTTATTATAGTTGATTCCAGTGCCACTATCCAAATAAAATTAGATTTATTTTTCGGAAATTAGACCTTTGTCTGTCAATAATTTTCAGTTTTTATGATTTAAATTTGATATCAATTGTAAGTTTGTAAATAATAAATTGTATGAAGTTCCAACCTTATTTTTTTTGCTACTTATAAAATAAATATAAGTTATACAATATTTGAACATTTTACCTGATATTAACATTATTTATTCATTATTTATAAAGTGATAAAGATATTTTTTGTTTATTAAGTAAAAAATAGCACGTATGCAAAAACTATGCTCTAAATTTATATGACATAAAATACAGTAAGCAAGGGAAATTTAATTTGAGTCCCATCTAATGATTTAATTTTTAACTTTGTAGTAAATATTTTTCTTTAATCCAGATTTTCATCATATCTCACGAGTCATGACATAGTTCTGTCATCGAGCTTATGACAAAAAAGAAGACACTTATAAAAGGGCAGTATCCAATTTTGTAGTTGACCCGTTTGGAAGAGCATCACTCCAAATTCCCCATGATACATGTTTTTAGATAGGCTCCCTTTATCCCCTATAAGTCCTTAAATCTTTAATCTTTGAATTTAGTCCTTACCTATTCATTTTTGAAATTACTCTTGATGGCACATTCCATCTTCTTATTGAGTCATTGTCTTGTCACTTTTTGAAATTAATTGAAAAGGATTATTTAGTGACCTCCGA